GTGGACATCGCCGTGGCGCCTCGTATGTCCACCCTCCATGAATCCCTATGGGCACGAGGCTCCAGCTTTCCTTTTGGGGAAGCCCTCAAAGGAACGTAGCTGGGGTGTTGGAAGACGAAAGCTTTCCTTGCAAGGCTTCCCCTAAAACGTCCACTTCCACGAGTGGCAAGAGCGTATGTCCCAGTTCAGCCAGAAACATGGCCACAAAGATGAGATTCCTTTGGTGGAGTGATGCGGGAGGACATATGGGAGCCCTGTGTTTGGCTGGGTTTAAGGAATGGAGCACAAACGAACAAGAAATGGATGACCATTTACCCACTCGCCAACAGATCGCAAAAGGAATGCAAAATGGAGGTGTTGAATCACCAGCCATGTGATTCTGTTTGTTTGTTTGCATTGCTTTTGTGTTTGGAGTTGGCTTAAAGGTCGCAAAACAAACTCAAACCCGCAATCCCTTGTCACTGTAGAACCAAAAATAAAATTTGGGTTGTGGCAGCTCAATGCTGATTTCCAGTTTTCGACGTATTGTATACATGTCAGGGGGTATGGATGTGTTTGGCTCGCTGTTTGCTTCCCCGGCTCCAACTCAAGCAACCCTAAAGCAGTGGCTTGGCAAGGGGGGTTGAACCCGTTTGCTGGTTTTGTTGAGGCCCCTTTTTTCCCCAATGGACATCCACGCATGTGGCTTGAAACGAGGCGAACGTGCCCTCCAAAGCTCCAACCTGCCAATGGGGGACACTTTTGGTTTCCCGCCCCGAAAACGGGTCAAGGCGAAACCACCAAGGCTTACAAGTTCTTCACTGATACCAATTGTTCGGGAACTTGACAGTACTTTTATGGATCCCACCAGCGACCCAAACAAGTTTCCTAGGCAGCCTGTGTGCAGCACAACCGTTAACCAATCCCGAAAGGTTGTTTTTCCCCCAGGAAAGAAACAGCGCCCATTTGCGTCTGAAATACCAAACGAGGGGAAGCTGAGTCAAGCTGAGTACTTGTTTCCTTGGGTGATTTGCCATTGGCTTTCTAGCACCAAGGTTTAGGGTCACCGGGCCAAAATGTCAATATAATTAAGGGAACCCTTTAATTGGTTGGCTTTCGTTCAGTTGCCCTACAAAACAGCCCCATAGCCTCATTATGGGGGTGCCCATATACAACAAAGGCCCCAGCAAAATTCCGAAGGGGAAGCCGACCATAGGTTGTCAGCCAGCTGGGCTTTTGCACCGCCTACTGCGTCTTTGTGGCGGAGAACGTGCAGGCAAAAGCGGCGACTGCAGCGAGCGGGGGGGGAGGGGAGGAACGGGGTGTTGTGGGCGTCATGGACGCTTAGAGTCAATTTGGCAGCCAACAACCCTAAAGACCAACACCTAAAAGAAGGTGGTCGCAAAATAGACTTCTGTAGAGATGTGCAAAGGGTATTTAGTAAAGCAATGAACATGTAAATGCAGACAGGGATCCTTGGAGGTAGGCAGGTGTGGGGTGGAGTTTCTTGGCAGGATGTTGAGTGGGCTCGCTTTCGTGGCGGGTTTCGAAGGTAGGGAACTACGGGGCTGACGGGCAATCTGCAGGGTGTTGGTCCTTTGCCTTTGGTAGACAAAATATGAAGAACCTAGACATGATTTTCTGTGTACCTGGCTCCCAAGGCCTTGGAGCCCCCAGGCCCTCCAAGGGTTCTCAAGCGTGCTGATCGGGTTCGGAGAGTATCTCCCTGGAACCCTCCGAACTTTGGGAGTGGCTCCTGTTTTTGAAGACCCCCGAAATGGATGTTACTTTTGGTCTCCAAAAGGGGTGCCGAGCCCCAAAGACAGATCCGATCGTTTCCTTACACATAATAGTAAGTGACCAGAACTGAAGCATCATGTAAAACCTGGTAAGAGAAAAAAGCTGGTGACCTGCCATTTGTGGCTTGCCTGGAAGCACCGGGATAGGAAGAACCACCCAAAAGAGTGAGTCGACTTGCAAAGTCCGGAGGCCATCGTGTTCGAAGCGGTCGGGGGCATGGTGGGTAGCGACGAGAAGCGCAAGTGCAGCCTCAGCGGCTTTTTGGCCAGCGAGACTTGGAGTCAACTACCCAGTTGCCCAGTGGTGCCCGTTTTACGTTTTTTGTTGTTGGATGGGTTCCGATTCCCTTCAAGTCAACCCACCAAAAGAAGGATGCCCTTGTTTTTCCCATGGTTACTGGGCATCTGAGAATAGCCTCTGGTCAGACATGGAACTCGCCATGGCGTCCCTTTCAAATCGGAACTCTGGATACGCGTCCTCCGGAGTTTGCAGGCTCCCCCCGGAAAAGCGTGCCTTCTCAAAAAATGAGAAGGCACTGCGACCCTGGAAAACCACGTGCCCAAAAATGAGGTACCTCGCAGGAAAATAGGGCACCGTGCATTCCCAGAACCATCGTGGCCTCTCAATTTTCCCGTGTCATTTTCTTTCTTTGAGAAGGAATGGTACCCGAAGGCGCCGGGATGGCGATCCAGACCCTCGATGAAAGGCAAGTTTTGTCTCTCAGGACACCCCTGTGAGGTTTCATGTTGGACGGGAGGGTCAGTGGAGGTGTTATGTTGACTGTGTTTGGGGGGTGTCAAGTCAGAAGCTGGGCTTGTTTCCCTGCCCGCCTTTTCGTTTGTTCAAGAGAGACTTTTGGGCCACTTTCTGTGACACCAGGGCAATCCCCTTCAAAGTGACAAAGCACTCATAGGAATGGCCTTTCAGGCGGCTTCCCACCAGCATGTCCTTTGGGCTACGTCTATCAGGGCTCTCCATATTCGCACATTTTTAACGTCACCTGTTGGGTTGCAATTGTAAGGTGAGGTTCCTTTTGGCGGGGTGATGTGCAGAATGGTTGGACATATATCTATACTCAAAGCACTACCCTTTCAGGTTCCGTGTTAGTTGGAGGGTAGCCTTTTTCCAAGATGCTAAGAACATGCGCATGGGAAAATGGGCCATTTGCTTTCAGCCAGCCTTTTTTATCTCGCAGGTTAATAGAATCCTTTAAATCTAAGGAAATGCTGTACTAAACCCTGAGCCTAAACCCTGTACCCCAAATCCCACGCATCCGCGCTTAAATTCGGTCTCCGATGCCAAAACGATGCCGTATATTGTAGGGTAGACCAGATATGAAGCAGAACCAGAGCATGTCATTTTCTATGTATTTTAGATGTGGCCCAAGGATATGCTGGTGTACTACATCATCCTGATGTGCATCCCTCTGCTGATCCCAGTGACCTGGCTGCGGCAGCTGAAGTACTTCGCGGTGACCAACACCTTGGCCTCCCTGCTGGCACGGGAACCCAGCAGTGAGCAGTGGAACGACATGATCTGGGTGAATTATAGCGACCTCACACGACCTCACCCCAAATGGTGGTTGTGGGGAATAGCCCCCGAACCACCTTATTTCAGGCTGGTGAAATATTATAATTCACCCAGATACGATACGTTCTAGATGTCATGTTTGAGTTATGCATTATATTCTATGTTACGTTGTATATCACGTTTGACCAAGGTAGACTAAGTTTGTCTAGCTCCAGTTGCAGCCGGATTTCACCGTTGTTTTCCTGTGGGACCCTTTTAAATCGACCCATGAAGAAAGGAAGGCGGTCTTGTTGTTCTATGGAAATCCGCCGGGCTCTCCAAACATATGCCATATATTTTAGAGGTACACTGACTCTGGGTTTAAGGGACGGATCGCAAACGAGCAGGACATGGATGTCCGATCATTTACCCACTTACGGATCGCAAACGATCGAATCACCAGCCAGACAAAATACAAAGCACATGAACAGTTTTTTTTGGTGCACTCTGGAGGTTGGGCCAAGCATTATGATTCATATAGACTTGGCTATTCAAGCCTCGTCTCCTTATCGTGGGCACCCCGATGATGCGTGGTTATTTTCTCGTTGGTTTTCTTTAAATCAACCCCCAAAGCGATTCCCTCAGAACATGTCACACTTATTTGTTGATTTGGAGGTTTAGGCTTTTATACCAGTTACACAAGGGGTAACCACTGCCTTACACGCTGATAATCCTGGTATATAAGCCTCCATACCTCTGAAACTCTTTGCTGAACATTAATTCCATGAGCTAGATTTTTTGAGGCAAGGCTTCGTTTTTCAGGAAGTTCTAGGAAATTATCTGAAATCATGGACCCCTAAATTGCAGGTGGGTGAAAAGTAGATGGCACAATTGCCACATGTCAGTTTAGTCCGTCCTTTTGTTGCCTACCTACACAAAGGGAACTGCGCCATCTACTTTTACCCTGAGTTAAAGTTTGCCTGGGTGTTTCTCAGAATTGGAATCGGTGCATGTCCTGAAACAGCTTTTGAGTGTCCTTTTCGGTTGCCGTTAACCACCAACCAAAAGGGGGGGGTCGTTCAGAGCTTGGACGGGCAAGGATTTCTTGGAGGCCAGAACCCATAGCCCCCGGGGTCCGTTTCGAGCCCGTCGCCTGGAAAGTGCCCTTATTCTTCTTGGAACCCCTGCCGGTTTTGCAGGTTGATGGGCCCCCTGTCGGTTTCTTGCGGGTTACAGCAGGGAACCGCTGTACTGCTTTTGGCAGATGCTTTAACGCTTTGCATGTTGGGTGGCTGACAACGTGTCTTCGGAGGTAGCCACGAACCAAGCGCCCCATCCAGTTGGCAGAATAGTCTTTATTCTCTTGAGCTGGCTTTAAAGAGAATTTATCGTTTCGCTTTTTGTCTTGGGGACGAAGAAAGCAAGCGGAGGTATTGTGTGCCCTTCTGGCAACATGTTCAACCCAACATGGATATGTGTCAAATTTAGCGAACCAACATGGCTGATTTCCTTTCGGCCGCCGTTAAAGCCAATCATAGAGGGCAAGCTCACACTTTGAGAGAGGAACCAAGTTTGCCGCACCCCACATGACCACATGACGAACGTGAGTTGACCAACATAGCCCCCGATTTTTTTTGACGGACCCCCCCCCCCTTCGGCTCTTTGTTTGGAGCGAACGCCCAAAGGGAACGACACCCAACATGTTTTCTTTTGTTTTTTTTGGGGGAGTCGCACCCAATTGATCAGCACCCAAAAACCCTATTGGCCAGTTCAGTAGGTGGTTCTACTACCTTGTTTTTCTGTGGCTATATAAACATTTGTAGCTATCTTGGTAGAGGCAAATATGTGTTTTGGGCCCTTTGAGTAACAAGCAGGTGGTGGTCTCTGTGCTCTTCATGTTGATCGCCCTGGTGAAACGCTACGTAGAAGTGGGCCCGGAAGGCCCGCGCGAGGGAGACCAGGTCGGATGTGCATCGTCTTGCGGCCGACGGCGAAAACAAGAAACACCCTGTGATGTAGGTCCTTTACGGCTCGGTTTTGGAAATATTGTAGACTTTACACATGTGTGTCCTGTGTTTGAACAGTGCTGGGGAGTTTGCGTTCCTTTTTTAGTATGGAAGTCCAAACTGGTTGGTTTCCCGTCGGATTTCCTTTCAATGACCACCCTCGCAAAGGGGGTACCCTCACACAGAAAGGGGACAGGCCCCAAATGCGCAGAGGAAATCACCTTGGTCTTGCCTATTTGCGAGCTGCTTTCTGTCTCCACAGGGCACATTTGGAGCTTCAATGGTGGGGAATTTGGCCGGCTGATTCGCAGCCCACAAATCAGGGTGACTCACCAACCCCAAGTTATCGCAAGTTTGTGATCCTGTCCTGTTGGGTTCCTAAGCACGGTGACACATGAAAAACAACATAAAATGGCTGGCACCTTTCAACTGTTATATTTTTGTCTAAGGCAGTTGTTTGGGGATCATGGAACCTTACCCAAGAGACTAGACATTTGACTTTTTGAGACCTCTTTTTTGGGACCCCTTTCTGGGAACCTGGTTGAGATCTCTTTTTTGGGACACCTTTTTTGAGACCATTCTTTGGCAACACTATCTGAGCATTTTTGATTGCGGCGGACTCCTGTTTGAGACCGCTTTTTCGGAATTTCATTTTTGGAGACCGCATTGTGAGCCTGTAAGATCCCGTTGAGATCTTTTTCCGATGCTTCTTGTTGAGGCCTGGTTTTTGCGAGACGCCATAGTTGACGCACGTATTTTCGCGAGCCTTTGTTGTAGGAACTCATTTATGATACTCTTTTTGGAGACCCCTTTTTGAGACCGCTTCTTTGCTGACCTTTTTGAGACGCCTTTTTTGAACGAACCTTCTCCCTCCAAAAGCATTCTTAAGGATCTGGAGGGTAATGGGAGAAGGAATAACATGATGCAGGAAGAAGCCGGAAGGAGATAATTCGCTATACAATCCTTTTCATTTCCTATCTCATGGACGAAGTAATTTCTAATATTAAAAGTGATTCCAGATAATAGAATATGTGTCTTGGGAATCTTCTTACCTGGATTTCTGAGGATATAATATTTGTTTTATAAAGATGATCATGAATCAGGAAAAAAAGAAATAGAAATCCGGCCTTTTTGGAGACGCCTTTTTGGTGCCCCTGTTTGAGACCCTTGTCTTCAACACATTTTGGAGACCTCTATGTGGGACCTGCTTGAGAGCCCTTTTTTGGGACTCCTCTTTGTTGGACCTTTTCTTCTTTGGACCCCCAATCAACCGACATGAAGACTTCAAAGAAGCGAATGGAGAAGATGGACATGGCATGCGAGCTCGTGAGACAACTGTTATCAGCCACGTTTGGCATGGAATTCTCTCGGCATATATGAAGCAGAAGCACCACCTTGGGAACTAAGATATGTCTATACAGTCCGAAGATGCCAAATAGAATACAGAACATTAAAGATGTGATTCAGATACAGTGAACAATGTTAACTTCGAATTATTCCACACGGAGGACCACACTTGTCAGGGCAGCCCCCTAAAATAGGTTATTTCCTCAAAGAAAACCACACACAAGAAATAAGAAAGCAAATCATGGGTGTGTCTTTTCTTGCGGGTGGTGCTTTTGGGGGTGGTTTCAAAGGGAAGCCAAAAGGAAGAATCGTCGGGCCAACTTGTGGGGTCCATTGCATCCCTTTCTTGAGACCCACTGCACCTGAGCCGGAGGCGGCGAGCTGGAGCTCTACAACCTGCGCCTTGGAAAAAAAAAAACAGAAGAAGTTCGGACTGGGCCACATGTGGGTGTGGCTCAAGATGAAGGAGCTAGGCTTACTCAGGTTTAGTCTTTGGTTACATTTACCAAGGTATATCGGTATATTTTTGATGAGGTATCTGGGTGAATTATAGCGACCTTACACGACCTCACCCGCAAACATGGTGCTTTGTGTGGGGAATAGGTTCACCTCGTGGGTGTGGCTTAAAATGAAAGAGCTAGGCTTACGCAGCTTTCGTCTTTGGTTACATTTGACAAGCTATTTTGGTATATGTTTTAATGAGCCACAGCCATGTATTACTGGGTGATTTATAACGACCTCACACGACCTCACCCGAAATGGTGGTTCATGTGGGGAATAGCCCCCCAACCACTTTAGTTCAGGTTGGTGAATTGCTATCATTCACCCAGATGTATCCTTTAACGGACCCTGTGACATAACCCTGTATGGTACGACCGCCTACTAAAAGTTCAATTCAGGGATGTTGAGGGGTTTGGGCGCTTGTGCAAGCAACGGAACATGCCCCTATTGATTTTGCAGGCTGATAGGCATTGGTCTTTGGTGGGTCCCTATCGGCTTCTGGTGATAAGTTGGACAGGCTCTGTGAGCATCATTCAAACATTGGCAGCTCAAAGCGATTTTTGTGTTCTTGCTTTTCGAGGTCGCCTTCAAAATTATATTACATGCTAGGGCAGGCTAATTGTGAACAGAAGCTGAATATAGTATTTTTGGTATACCTCAGATTTGGCCCAAGTTGAGCAGGTGCCACAAAAGCCGGTTGTTTTTTGCTGACAAGGCCGGATTGCAAGGGCTGGACAAGAAGAATTGGTGAGTAAGCATGGTCTGAGGGCACATGCTTGTATTGGTTTGTGTCGCCGCGCAAAGCGACTCCTTTGTGGTTCACTTCAGGAAGGCAGCGCAAAACCAAGAGTTTGAAGTGGATGATTTCTAGTTCCATGGTAGGGGCCTTGGCGTTTTTTTTGTCTGGAAAGCAGCCTGCTCAGAAACAATATATTTTTGTGATATGCCCTGTTGGACAACCATAAGGGTATGGACGTAGACAAGGCAATCAGGCTGCATTCAGTTCTTCACCAGGGAGTCGAACATTTGTCTCATTTCCCGCGACCTGTTTTGCCACCCCACAAGCTACAATCAGAACCTGGGCAGTTGAAGTCTACGAATGTGATTGTGACTCACCTGAAGCTTTTCCCACTCTGGCAAACATTTTTAGTTGAGGTCCTAGACGCAGTCATGATGATTGACCCGCCGAAAGGAAGCGAACAATATGGTTTTCAATTTGTTTCAGGTCCCTAACTGTGGATGGAATTCTGCACCAGCTTATTGCAGTGTTTCGTCCATCCAGGTGTAGGATATTGTCCAGTATGTTTACAGTAGCCTTTTTTGGGTTCCCCCCACTTCCAACCCATCCCGAGCCTATTTTGAGGCACGGCACCCTGGTCTACGTGGGTGTCGCCATGTATGCCTTCGAGGGCGTTGGGGTGCTGTTGCCCGTGCAGGCCCCGTCGGGATCACAGGTATGTCATGGGAACCTCGGCAATGGGCTCCTTTTGGTTGCAGCTAAAACGCCAAGTCCCCAACATGGTCCCAACTCAGGAAAGAACACTAAGAGCTTGGATCCCTGTGTAGAGGAAGGGCAGTCAGGGACAGTCCCAGCCAGACTGAATTCTTTACATAGCTTGCGGTAGACGGTAGACCGCTTTGGTACTTAGTTGTGGTTATGACGCACATGACATCAGTTGGAGTGGTTCAACATTTGCGGGATGCTGTTTTTTCGTGTTTGGCTTGTGTGGTCAGGAGAAAATAGGCTTCAGGTAACCTGGGGTTGATCCGGGTATGTCAAGCTAACACCCACGGAGCCAACCTTGGGTGTCCTTCGGCTTCCAGGAGCCGGATTCTACCCCGGCCAATCCTGGGCTGTGACTTATTGTCATCATGCCATGATCTTAGGTTCAACAAGTAGGGCCTACAAGCAAGCAAGCAAGCAAGCACGCACGCACGCAAGCAAGCAAGCAAAGACAAAAGCAAACAAGCAAACAAGCAAACAGACCAGCAAACAGAAACAAACAAACACACACGCACACATGCCCAAGCAACCAAGCAAACAAGCAAGAAAGGAAGCAAGCAAGCCAGCCAGCCAGCCAGCCAGCCAGCAGGCAAGCAGGCAAGCAGGCAAACCAACACTCGAACAAGCAAACAACCAGCCAAACGAACACACGCACGCACCAAACACACCCCAACCCATACCGACATAGACACACACACACACACACTCACATTACATGGACCACAAGGCCCTGTACATGGGGTGACCATTGGGGAAGCCACCAAAAAAGATGACCTTCACCACTAGATGAGAAAGGTACCCGTGGTCTTTTTGGGTGAGGATTTTTGATCAATACATTATATATATATACATATGATATTTGCAGACGTTATATATATATATATATGTATACATACAATATATATATATATATGCACATACATATTTATTATTTTTCTTGCCTGGCTCGCTACCTGGCTGCCTTGAGCAGGAGTCCATGGCCGAGCCGCACAGGATGCCTGAGGTGGTGTGCTGGACGCTGTCCCTGGCTTGCCTCCTGCAGGTGGTCTTTGCCCCTTCGGATGTGCTCTTCAGCGTGCGTCCGGGGGTCTGAAGGGTCCGAAGGCTGGGAACTTGGAGACGGGGGACAAATCCTAACCAAGTCCGTTTTTAAGGGGGGTGCCCGTTTTGGGGAGAGTTTTAAAGGAACACCAAAGGGAAACCACCATTTTGGGGGCCCCCAAAAAACACACGTACACGCATCTTGAGGATGTTGCATGAAGGTTCCAGGCGGAAGAGGTTCGGTCAAGTCATCTGCTTTACTTAGCCACATAGGCAATTGTGCCATCTACTTTCGCTTAACACTGACTAGTTGTACTCTTACTCAATATGATGATAGTGGGAATAGGCCAACAACACTAGTACCCATAGTATGAGCAGCGACTCATCGAAATTAGGGTCCCTTCCTGGTATCCACTTTAAGAGGCATCGCTGGGCGGTCTGGAAGGGTCTTAGTTGGGTCCCAATACTACAGCTCCCTCAATGAACACAACAGCTAGACCACACCCTTGGCTAGTTGCCTGCTAAACCAGGCTTCCCTATATATCCTTCTTTAGTGGGTTGAGACATCATCGCTCGGGCAAATTCAGAGTGAGTTTCCCAGGAGTCATGTTGCAAGCGGAAATGTAGAGAACCCTGCCAAAGAACCCAAAACAAAAAACCAAAGTGCCGAATCTTTTCCCATGGAACTCCACTGGGCGCTTTGCTGGCGACCTCCGCGATCAAACCGACGGAAGCCGAGGCCTCGCTGGCCTACTTGAACTACCGGCAGCACACGGCCTCTATTGTGACCATCTCCCTGGCGGACGGCCACATCATGGGCGCCCCAAAACCAAAATGGTTGTGGGTCAAAAGCAATGGTACCATTTTGGGGTTGGTGCACCACCCATTCTAGTCCATTTTAGTAGGGATTGGGATGTTCACTGGGGGTACGATTTGGATTTTGACCCATGGCCAAACGGAACGCAGTTGGTCTGGTCGAGCCCCCCACAAAAAGCTCGGGTGGCTCTCCAAATACTGGACCCTCAAAATGTGGTTGCTTGTTTGTCGTTTGGTTTTTGTTTTCCGGTTGGCACCCCTGTAAACAACCAAACAAGGGTTCACCATTTGCAGAGAGACCCAAATTATTTTCCGTTGGAGTACAGTTCAGTGAACGCAGATAGCATTTAATTTAGTCATCCCCTTCGCCCACAAAAAGGGAACCAACTTTCAGCCTGGTGTAAATGGTGTCCTTTTACATCGGGGTTCCTCCGAAGCTCGAAACCACCAAACCGCTTTTGGCAGAGAATTTGTTGATGGGCCCTTTGCTTTCTCGGTATCCTTGGATTGCTGGATCAACCCACAAAAGGAACCCTGCGAAGAACATGCCAAGTTGCTAGTATTTGGATTTATTTTTGGAATCTCTGGTACATCACTGTCAGTCCTCATACGAAAACGGAAACTATTCACCCCTAGACCCCGAAACCATTTTTTTTTAAATAAAATTCAATTGCCAAACAGGCACACAAAGGGCCTGATCCTCTTTAATCTGACTGTGCTGGTGTCCTCTTGAATTGCAAACTGTTTTTGGTGCGGGGTTGAGATTCCAACAATGCAAGCCCTTGCTTTTACTTTTAAGCCCATCCCAGCTGAGAGGCTGGCAATACTAAATCAAGTACTGGGAATCTAAGAGGAAGTCTCGTGAATGCACAATGTTGAATTGGCAATCCTAAACTAGGCAATGGGAATCTAATATTAAGTCTTGGCATTGGCATTGCCAAATTTAGAATTGGCAATCCCAAATCCCAAAGCAAGTACTGAGAGTCTATCATAAAGTCTTGAAGGTCTTGGCAATACTAAGTTTAGAACAGGCAAGACTAGATTAAGCACTGGGAATCTGAGATTAAGTTTGGAAACCCTAAATCTAGACTTGCAAGAAGTATTCAAGCAAAGTCCAACCCAACCCCCTCACAAAAACATGTCCCCTCAAGAGGGTCCAAATGACAGTTGGCACTGTTCGGGGAATTCATATTTTCGAGGGTCCAACACGATGTTTGCATTGTTCGCCGTTTTTAGGCTCATTTTAGGATCCTCCTGTGCCACCAACCCAAACCCACCAGTCTTGTCTTGTTTTTGCGTGTCAGTGTCGACCGAGTTCCCCTTGTTGAGGTGGCATGGGCGCGGTGATTGCGGTGCAGGTCGGGGGCTGTTCTGCCAAAGGGGGGGGTGGTCGGGCTTCCCAAGTTTTGGACTTGATTCTTTCGAAGACCAATTTAGTTACAAACAACAAACAATCATGTTTGTTTTGCCAATCGGATGCAAGTTGTGGGCCACAACAAATCAAAGTGCTCCATGCCTCCTATTTCAGGTTCCTTTTCACGTGGATACACTGAGTCTTGGGGCTTTGATTGCAAACTTTCCACCCTTCGAAGCAAACACCTCACATCTACCTCTCTAACCAAAGAAGGGGCTGGAAACGAGTCTATGGCCAAGCTGACACGATTCGTCTTGGTGGCCTGAGAAGACTTCAACCAAGGCCCGACCTTGGACACCCACACAGGTAGAGGCACGGAAAAGACTTGGGGCCCTACCAAAACTGGGGCCAAGACGAGTTTGTTAGGGTAGAAATACGACGCATAAACTGGGAAAATATATGGTGTGTGTTAACAGACCCCCATATGGGAGTGGTCCGGGATGGTCATCTGAGAGATTGCAGATGCCGGCCAAGAAAAGGAAGTTTCTTTCATTGCCAGACATTTCTTTCAACCTTTTGCCCTTCTCAACCTTTTGCCGCGTTGGCCCTTTTGGGTTTTTTCCCCATGATTTTCCCCGGTGAAATGGTGAAAGCTCCGGCGGGCGTCCAGGTGGCCTGGGTGGTGGAGGTGTTGCTCACCTTCCCGCTGCAGCTCTTTCCGGCGGTCCGCATCCTGGACACGCGGGGCGCAACAGCTGGGCGGGGCCGGGGCCGGGGCTTGGGGAGGCGCTCGTAGACTCGCAGAGCCAGAGAACACAATTTGCGGGTTTTCCCGCTTCTCCGCTTTTGGTTGTCCCTCTAAAGGTGAAAAGAGGGCATCAGATGCAAGTTGGTCAGTTTCACTAGTGTGGGTTGACGAAATCCAGGCCAGGCACCAGTTCGGAAAGGTGATTTATCCCAGTCTTTGTGGGACTTCATGTATCCCAACTGGTACCACATGTTGTGCCATATACCGTTGCATCCTCCAGCCCATTCAGCCCCGCATAGGGTTCCCTATATTTTCCCTTTTGGTGGCGTCAAGTGAGCAAAAGAAAGGCGGGTTCCTGGACTTTCGACTTTTGTGGAAGACCATGGTAGTTTTGAACACGACGTTTGGACTTGTTCTGACCAATTTCACTCGGAAGTGACTCTAAGTGAGGAAGGCTTTGCTGTTGGGCAACAAAAAGTGGTCCAAACAAATCGGCACGCCGGGCCTGAGCTTGGCGTGCCGATGCAACAAGTTGTCAATCAATCTTGTTCACAAGCGATGACGAGAGGTTGGCGGCGACAATTGCAAGCATTAATTTCATTGGGCTTCCCTGGAGCGCTTTCTTGGGCACTTCCAACGATCAATCCGGTCCTCTGGGGAGTACCCTCATATTGAAGGCCTTCCGTAGACCCCCTCTAACTCCGCTTTCTCTAAATGTGAGAAAGCCTATAGGCGGCAATGCATTGATCTATCACCCCTCCAGGTAGGTTTGCTCTTATTTTACCTTACATCCAACCGATGGGCTGAGAGGGTTCCAACAGGTACCCAGTAGGGTCCTTTTGAACAGCCAACGTCGTGGCTCACCTCGTTTGCTTTCGACACGAGGAGCGGCGCTGCTCGGTGGCCGAGCGGAACTCAGGGATGAGCTGGACCAAGAACCTAATGCGCTGGGGGGCCCAGAGGTTTGTGTTTCAGAATTCCATGTGGGAAGTTCTGCCTGGAGTCGACCATTAAGTGGAATTCAAAGGAGTTTGTGGACTTGTTTGGCCAAGCCATTCAGGAAGTGAGAATTATTGGTTGTAAGTCTTCATTAAAGCGCCAAGGTAGATAGTCGTATTGGGTGTCACAGAAAGGGCGATTTCCCAACAGCGATCCCAAGCTTTGTTTTGCACCTCCATTCTTTGATTTGTCCCAAACAGGCCAGAGCTCTGGGAAAAAGTCCGGATCCGAGTCCGCGATTTGGGGGGCCCGGATTGGCAGATGGGTGTTGTCCATTAGGGGTTGCTCTGTTGCTCTTTGAAGCCCAGAATGTAGCGCTCTTGTGTTTTCCATGGCTGGGAACTGAGGGGTGACAAGTGTAAATACCGTCATGTGCTTGTATTTTAGAGGGTGAAAAGTGATTTTTGTGGCTGAGATTTCCGAACATGGGGGTGTTGTGAACATGTGGCTTTCCGTTTTTGTGGTCAAAGAAAACGGCCCGGGTCATTCGGAGCCCAAGAACCGGCTGCCCAATTTTGGGAGCAACAACACGAGCTGCCCCGAAAAGTTCGGGGTCCGGGACGTGAGAAATTGGTTGGGTCTGGGTGTCACCTTTTTCTCTATTTGTTGGTGCTTTCCCTTGAAATTCGGAGGGAGATGCTACATCGCGACAGCTCAATGGGAAGCGCAACGGTATTGAATGAGGCCATGCGTTCGGGGAAACCAAGCCACCCAGGTGCCGGTCTTGTGCTGCTGTGCGGGGGCCCCAGTCCGACGCCATGGCTGTCATTTTGTTGGGAGAAGCCCTCACTTCCAGATGGACTCATGAGGCAAAACGAGCAACAGGCTATCGGTCCTTTACTGGGGATCCAGTGGATCTCGTAACCCTCTTGGTGGGGTTTTCCGGGGAGCCCAAAAAGAGTCGAGCTTCTACCTAGAAGGGTTCCTATTTTTGAGAGCCCCCTTGTTTGTTTTGTTTTTTTCGTGTGGCACCTATGCGGCAGGGGCCATAGTCAGGCCTTTCACCTGGGAATCTGTTGATATAATCTCTTCCCCCTATTAATAAATACGGCCCCCCCCCCCTCCCTATTATAAATAAATCCCCCCAAAAATGTATATATTTTTTTAATTGGGGTTTTTGGGGTTGGTTTTTTTTGCTTTTCCAACAATGTGAGGGTTCACGTAGGATTTGGATGAAATGGATTGAATTGTAAGGTCCGCGAGTAAGCGGTTCAATAAGGAAATTTGATGCATCATTCTATTTGTTTACCAGTTTAGCCAGACCAGACAGACCGCAGCCAGGTGACAAACGCAGCCAGCCAGGGAGTCAGGGACAGCCAGGGACAACAGAGTCAAGAACAACCTTTTTGGGAACCCACCAAAAGAACCCAACCTTTTGAGAACCCACCTGTTGAAAAGTGAGGCTGGAAGCTTGCCAAAAGTGCCCCCTAATAAGGATTCCAAGACGTTAGTATTGGTTTAGTATTGGCGCAATGGAAAATCAATTGTGTGGAGTGGAAATCTGGTCCCGGGCCCCGGATTTGCATTTATTATTAATTGGGGTCATTCATTAATTGGGGGAGCGGATTATACTTAAACCTCGCACTCTAACAGGGGCAATGGCTTTGATGGAGTTTTTTTTGGGGCGATGCTTTTGAGGGCACATATAAGAACACCTGCAGTTTGTTGTGCTGACGAGACCCCGAACTCATATTTGGCCTGATGGGTATGTCCATTATGGTCGGGCGGTTGTCAAGCATAGGGCAATGTGAGTCCTTTGGGGTCTGAAAGGGTCCACAAAGTTCACAACCAACCGTCGATTTGTTCGTAGGACCCCATGCTCTAACCCCTGTCCTGTGAAGGGCAACAGCTACGTGATTCTGGGGTACGCAAGAGGCAGGCTCACTGCTCATTTGGGGCACATGGGGGCACGTAGGTGTTTCCTTTGATCCTTTCCCCTGAACTGTCGTTGGCGCTGTCGTTAGATCTTAAGATTGATCCAATTTTGACCCCCCGACACTCATGTTGATTCCCCCGACCCAAGTTTGATCCAATTTTGATCACCGGCCCTTGAGCTTAGCTTGATCCCACCCAATTCTGATGAAATGCTGATCCATAGGCGGGTTGGTTTATGGTGGGTGTGTGGGGGGTTTAGCGCGGGTTGGTGAAAAGGGTTGTTCTTGCTCGCTGGCTCGCTGGCTCGCTTGCTTGTTTGCCAATCCAGCGGGGAAAACACATTCAATTAATAGAACTTTTGGACATGTTGCAAGAGTTGGCGCCCGCTTGCGCTTGCAGCTGGCGCAACACCAACAAACCTTACCTTTTGCTAACGGCCAAATCACGATTGGGGGCACGGTTTTGCAAGGCTGATGCATCGTGTACACTTTGGGCTATCAGCATGTCAGCAACACGTTGGTCTCCTCCAAAGCCATTTTACACTTTAGTGTAGACTCAACTATGTAATAGAATCTGAGAATCTGATTGCCTGCCTGGGCCAAGGCATGTTCATTTCCATGTTCGGGTACACCTCCGTGGACAACCTCGTGGCGCTCATTGGGGCGCTAGGCTGCGTGCCGTTGCTAGGCCGCACGCCAGGGCACTGGGGAGGAAGGCGGCATCATTGGTGGGGAACGCTTTTGGGATTGACCATGATTAGAGGGGAACCCAACAAATAGTTACAGGCACAGGGGCTTAAAAGGGGTGGAAGAGGGGGTTGAACACCTGTTTTGTTTTCTTTGCAAAGGAGGACCCGCCCCACCCCCCACCCCCGCCCCCCCCCAACCTCCAAAAGCCTCGCGGCCATCACGGATTCAGATCCGCCTCAGGGGGAGCCGTGGGACGGTGGCGGCCCCGAAATGGCCCGCAATGGCCGCTTTGGCAACCCTTTGCTACGGCTCTGAAACTGTACGTGTTTTGCTGAGGCTTTGCATCATCTACCCAGCTCTGCAGCCTGGCGAATGGGATAAGGTCGGGAGCAAGCGGACTTCGGCCTATTCCCTCGGTGCTGAATCCGAATTCGGTCATATTTCCCGATGGATCGTTTGTTTTCCAGACCTGCCATTATTGCTATGGCGCAAAGAGTCACGGGGCATTCTGATTGATTTGTAACTTGAAGACTCCATGCAAGCCAACCCATCCCCGCCCCTTGATGGCAGCCGTTTTGAGCCGCAAAAAGCTCCGAGGCTTACTTTAAAGGCCAACCATAATTTGGATGAGGATGCATTTTATTTCGAGCACACCGCGCCCGATCTGCCGGAAGTTGGTCGTGTCTCTTCCCCCCAACATCAGCTGGAAACAAACAGTTGTTGTTCCCGGAAGCATGCGGAAGAGTCTTCCGAAAACGACTGCAAACTTCCCCCAACTTCTCCTGCCAACTTTCCGAGTGTTCCTTTACCTGTCAACTTCTCCTGCCAAGTTTCCGAGTGTTGCTTCACCTGCCAACTTCTCCTGCCAACTTTTTGATTGTTACTTCGTTATCCTAAAAACACAAGCTAACACCCGTATCCCACCTACAAGCAGAAGTTGCGAGGACACTTTTTCGGGTGTTGCTCAGATATCACAATTAATACAAGTTAACTTAGTTATTGCACCTTCTCTTCTGAAGTCTCAGTTGTTCTGCTTTTCCTGCTTCGGGCGGGTTCGAAGGCAGCTACGAAATGCACACCGTTGCAGGGATGTGCGTTTCGAAGTGCTCTCGCCGCGCCGACACGCGAATTTGCAAAGAGGATCCGGCCCGAACACCGCAACTTCTTTCACAGCTTCTTTAATACGAAAGTAGTAAGCAAAGTGCGCCCGCAGTTGGAGCTTGGAAAGTGTAACCTTTGAGCACGAAGGCCGTGCGAAGGCAGTACGCAAAGTACGCCTTGGCAGTGGAGCTCGAATAACTAGCCTGGAAATCGCGGCCAGCTCTTCGCTACAAAAGTGGAACTCGACGTGTGCTCGCGTGCAGCTCCAGCTCGCAAATCACAACAATTCAGAGTAAAAGTAGGATGTGACGTACGCTCCGCTCTCTTGAACATGGCAACCTTGGAGCCTAGAAGTAATATACAGATATATCCATTGATGCGCTC